CGTTTGTAATCTAAAATGACTGAAAATTGCAAATTTGGCAAGGCTATATTATCCGCATTTTACAACATTTCGCAACGAAACTTTGGAATATTACTAATTTTGTGATGCTCTTTCATGCTATGATGGAATTTTGTCTAGACTTGTTGAAATTAAAATATTTTGGTTAATTGGGGAATGGTCCATTGTAAGTTCTGAAGAATTTGTAAAAAAATGTTTGAGAGAACTGATTCGCTGTTTAAAACTGAGTTGGTTCCCTCAAAGGGAACGAAGAGTTACAGTATATATCTGTGGCATGTGTGTGAACTGTTGTACTATTCTAAACACTAGGAACTGTCCGGATTTCGACTTGTGTGAGGAATGCGAGGTTATTGAAGATATCCACGATCCGTCGCACGTCTTCCTCAAACTGCGCTACCCTGGTATTGGCATTGGCAGAAGACATGGTGTCATGATACCGTTTCTCAAAGACATCATTTACAAGAGCAAAGATGTCGAATTGTAAGTGTTCATTGGATAATTTGTTCATTGCAAACTTTGGATAATGTTGCCAACTATATATTAGGTGAGGGTCTTGATGGGGGGTGGGGTCTGAAAATCAGTAAACGGTAAAAATGTTGGTATTTTAAACGGTAAAATTTTGGTATTTTAACGGTAAATCTTTGAAAAGTGTTCTGAAATGATAAACAGTATTTTCACGACTGACGGTAACCGGAATTGAGTGAATCACGATCCAACACCCTCTTAGCAGTCTTAGGTGTATCGTACAGTACGTGGGTTTGTAGCGGTTTGTGCGGTAATTTTTCTTCTACCGTAAACAAGTTGTTAAGCTTTTTTCTAGATAATCATCATACACTAGCACTGTCTGTTCAAATGGTTCTTAGAGATCCAGTGAAGGTCTAACACTCCTGTGCTACTACAAGAGGAACTAGAATACCTGGAGAAAACCTGCGATATTTGAAAGAGTCATACGACGGAGGTGAAATTATAATCAGACAACTTGCAGGAATCGCATTGCGGCACGAACACCTCAACCAAATATTAATGCAGAGGTTCAAATTTAAATTCCGCTACCACTACCTCTCACTGGCTTAGCGCGCATTTGATTGGTTAATCGGATATATGAAACGCATCCGATTGGTTAATGGTCCTTTAAAATGGTAGTGGAAGTCAAATCTGAACCTCGGTACTACCGTTACACAGGGCGGAAGAGCAGGACAAACGAATGAAAGAAGTTCGCAAGAAGTTGAAGCAATCGGCAAAGAAGAAAAGAGAAGAACAAGTTGGGAAGAAGAAAGCCGACAAGAAAATGAAGAAACTTCAAAAACCTGGGTAAATACTTGGTTTGATTGTGCAGGAAATTATAGGAAAACAGATTGAGTATAAACATGTTTCGTGCATTTAGGGGCAGCATCAGTAACGATAATCTTGCGTGCGGTGGTTACGACCTGCTATTCGTTGGTGATGGAAGCTACCCTGATGGCACAGAAGTTACACCAGGATTTGAGGTACTACTATACAAAGTTAATTTTTAGCTCTGATCAAACTTAAACAACATAGGCTTACGAAATTCTCCCCCTAATTCTCTAAAGAATCCAAACTCCTTCTTATCCCGTTTCCTTCTTTTAGTCAACACAATGTAGAAAGCCTGCTCTGTTTTCGAATGGTCAGTCCCTTATGCACAAATTTCGTTTTGTGTTTAATTTAGTTCACAAAATGTTGGAAGATCCGAAACACTGGAACTGTTGCATGGAACAAAGAACCAAAGGTTTGCTTTCGCTGAACTTTAATTGGTTACCTGTGTTCCATTCTATGCTTAATCTATAGTCGTGTGAGTTATCAGAGAATCCGCATTTCAAATTCTATTTTGTTTTGCAGTTGATGTATCTGTATGGAGGATTGCGGTGTATGTTGTCGACCGCAGTGGAACTGCCTCATTTAGAGCCTGGTGATGAAGGAACAGTCATGGCCACATTTATTGCACCTCCGGATATCGGCGAATATATCAGGTGAGACAGATACAGTAACGCGAGATTTATAGATTCTTCTTGCCTTGCGTGGTCACTAATGTGACTGTTTAAGGTACGTTTACACGCTGCGATTTGTAGGGCCGAGACACACCGGACGCGATTCGACAACGCGACGCGATTTTTAGTTTTTGAAAGTTAATAAAACAGCCAATGAGAGCAAATTTTAAAAGATATGTAGACCAAATAACTCAAAATGTTATAACGCTTCTAAGTATTTGGAAAATGTAAACTAGGATCAAAGTTATCGGTCAGTGAAAATCGAAAAATCGCGTCGCGTTGTCGAATCGCGTTCGGTGTGTGTTGGCCTTTAATTAAATTATATTTGAAAAATACGCTGTCAACGTCATCTGGCGACATCGTCAACAGACAACATTCATCATTAACATTCGGCAAAACCTGAAATCGGCCCGATTAATCGCAGCGTGTAAACGTGTACCTTTAGTTGGCTGTCCAATAATGCGAGCAAACAGTTCACGTGATTTTAGTATAAAATGTGAGGCCTATTCTTACGTACGTTGTGTCTTTATTCTTACTAGTGTATGGCGTGCAACATCATCATCAATGTGCGGTGGGATAAATTTCGGCAGCAAGATCTGGTGTAAAATCAAAGTCGTACGGGAAGAAGTACCATCAGGTATGTTACGTTCTGAGCCACTGAGGCTGTAAGCCTCTAACCTTACAAGTTGAAAAGAGTATTTCTAGTTTTACTCTACCAAACACGCAGTAAGGGACATGTACCTTTGTGGACCTTTAAGGAGAACAGTTTAGAAGTGATCGAGTTATTTTGGATGCAAAACCAGTTTAGAAGTGATCGAGTTATTTTGGATGCAAAACCAGTTTAGAAGTGATCGAGTTATTTTGGATGCGAAACCATTACTAACCTTGCTGAACATGCTTCTTTCAGACAACGATGAGATCTTTGTAGATGCAAACGAAACATCCGTTGCACCCATGCAAGAGTCAACTCATGCATCTGTTAGCGAACCAGATGCTGAGATGTTGAACGAAGACAGTTCACCAACAACGGCAGATCCTATTTTCCATGCCTATACAACGCAACAAAGCCAAGAAGATGAGATTGGTGCGGCAGGGGTGGACAATTCGGAGAATCAAGCAACAAGTAGCGATGTCTCATTGCTTGAATGTAATGAATTGGAGTGGGATACGTGTGTAGTGGATGATGACGCCCCCGTCATTGTTAACGAAGGTACACTGATAAGAAACGGAATATGGTGGGGGGGGGGGCGGGGTTAATTCAATTCTTCTAGGAAACTTTAACGATCTTTAGTTGTATGTGTAGTGCTAAAAATTAAAAACTCGCAAAGCCTGCAACGTCCCCATGGTGGCCGCGCACAAATATATACATATGCTGGTCATGTGAAAACCATTGGGGGCCAGACTGGTCATACTGCACCACAATGTCGGCACTCGATAACGGCTGGAATCCAAGCCTAGCTAATTTGATCCCAATTCTCCGGTCAGATCGGTTTTAAGTGTTCCATTCTTTTGCCCAAACGTTTTTAAGTGTTCCATTCAACAATTTGATCGGGCCGTGTTAATGGAAAGCGCCCTAATATTATATTTATTTCCCTACCAGATGACGAGGATTACATTGATGTAATAAGCAACGCAAGTTCAGACGATTTCTGTGTCGTGCCACTGCCAGCATGTTTTAACCCGGATATTCCGCTCGACTTTGGACCGGGACCATCGGTGGAAGCACCAATGCCCTTGGCACAAGAGTTGGAGACTGACGTTCATGTGGGATCACCTGCAGATCAACAGGGATCATCTACAGATGGACAAAACCCGACAGGAGAATTTGAAGAAGAACAATCCGTAAGTACCCACAGGCATTCATCATGTACATGCAGGCGTCGTGTGTGATGATTGCAGTTGTTGGATTGGTAGGGTACAGTATGGAGTTGTGTGGTACAATCCGTAAGTACCCACATACATTCATCATGTACATGCATGCGTCGTGTGTGATGATTGCAGTTGTTGGATTGGTAGGGTACAGTATGGAGTGGTATGGTATGGTATGGTATGGTATGGTATGGTAATTGTTGAATAGTTTACCTAACCAGGAGCAACTATATAGGCCCTCTGGCAGGAATCGAACCTGCCGCCCTGTGATTCCGGTGCAGTGTTCTAACCAACTGAGCCACAGAGGCCAGTCGACCAGTGTAGTGTGATATGTGTTAATCTATGGTATAATGGGGTGTGGTTTGGCATGGTATGGTGTGGTATGATTTGGTGCTGTTCAATTCAGCGCACTCTAAATAATGTAAGATATTTAGTAAAAGTTTAAAACGGAAATATTGAGAGTGTTTCTCAACAATAATTTCCATCCGTAGGAGGAAAGCCTACCCACAGCCGAACCAGAAGAAGATGAAACCGTGGATCCAGAGGACGATGACATAAGATACATCCCTATTACCTCCGACCGCCCAGCCGAAGATTCACGGGATCTGCCTGAGCAAACGACGTCAGTACCAATAAATATTGAATTGAGAAATGCAGAAATGAGCGATCAACGTCCACTAACAATGCCAGGTTTTGATGCGAGATCAACAATAAGCGAACCCGTAGCCCCACAAACAGCTTCCTTTGAACGCACCCCCCTAATTTATGGGCGGTTACCAGCATCACCCCCCGGGAGAGCAGTGCCTGTTGTTCAAATCCAGATCACCGAGTCCGGTGTCGGACGTGCTGACTCGGGCCCAGGCTCTTACGAAGTGGAGGTGGCGACTGGAGGTCAAGGCGAGTGGCAAGCTGTTAGAACCCAACCTCCTGATGTGGTTCATCAAATCTCAGAGGAAGAGGAGACAGGTTGGTGTCTAGAAAAGCCATAGTTTCCATCTGATTATATTTTTCTGCGTAAGCATGAGAGAGGTTTTGGGTGAGATATGCAACATTTAGAATAACACACTTTACACTTTTGCAAAGGCTAAAGCCTCATTTACACTATCAAAGTTTCTGTGGTCATAGTAGGAATTTGGCATGGGGAAATTCTAAGTTTTGAAGGAATTGTAAGAAATTTTTGAGCAAACTGACTCAGTGTTAAACACTGAGCCAGTTCCCTCAAACATTCCTTACAAATCCTTCAAAACTTAGAATTTACCTTTGCTGCAAAATTCCTACTGTGATCACAGAAACTTTGATAGTGTAAACCAGGCTTAACGCATGAACATTGTACAATATTTCAGTGACAATCCAACCTCGAGGAGCGACTGGTGCAAGTCCACAAAGTACAGCACAGTTTGCATCGACCTTCGTGACTGGAACGCTAAAACGAGCACTTGGTTCTGTTACTGATACCGTCACCTCATTCATGACTGGTAAAGATACTCCCTCTACTGTTGTTTACACGCCGCCTAATGGAAGTAGCGATAACGTTCATGTTGTTCATGTCGTTCTACCAGATATCACCGTAAGTACATCTAGTGTTGTATAAACTTTGGTTGTGACGATCGACTAGAGTGTGGACTAGAGTGTCGCTTTGTCTCTACAGTCAGTAAAGACTGATTTACGTACAACACACAAGACAAGATAAATCCAGACCGTTTCAGATGAAGTGTATGTACTAGACTGTCGATATATCCGCGCAATCAGTAAAAGATTAATTTGCATACACTGTGCTGAGTGGTTATATTACTACCTTAAAAAATAAGCAGAAACTCGACGTTTCGAGCGAAGGCCCTTCGTCAAGAGTTAGTAGCCTTCGCTCGAAATGTCGAGTTTCTGCTTATTTGTTAAGGTAGTAATATAACCACTCAGCACAGCATTTTCACATTGGTACTACCCACACTGGTACAGACAGTTTTAATTTGCAAACAGCATGTCACACAAAACAAGCTGTGACTTTCTGGAGGTGCAGAGGTGGACACCCACAAAAAAGTTACAATCCCCTCAGACAAACACCAATCATTGTATACTGACATGGCGTTCTTGCTATAGTTTCCAGGAGCCCCCCTCCCTCCCTCCAGTGAAATATCTCCACCCCAGCCTTAGACGAGTGCTGAGCCTGGGTCCGCCTCCAATACTTAACAGAGTTGGTTCACAATTGAATACTAATCTTCTTATTCTCATAGCAACCTGTGGCAGAAACCCGAGAAAATGAACCTGATACAAGAGTTCTGATTGAGCAACTTCGTGAAATGGGGTTCTGTGATCGCCAGTTGAATGAAAGATTGTTACGAAAACATAACATGGATGTGAACAAGGTTGTCACGGAATTAATTCATGTAAACGACAATGACTGGTCTGCCGCACGCCATTGAACTTAATTAACACTACAAAAAGTTTGGGTGTCGTCGGTATTGGCCATGCAATTCACCGATTAAATATTAAAAAACCGTTTGAAAATATGAGTTTGTTAGATTTATCAAAGAAGACTGACCAGCCTCGTTTTGTCCTTAACCTCGTACACTCTGCTGAAAAATTGTTTTTAGCCTGATAATGATAAAAATATAAAATGCAAAATTGTGGTGGCGGTTAGTTTTCGAATCGGGCAATACGCTTTTAAAATATAAAACATAAATAAACATTTACATTGTAGTGTAACTGAAGTATTGCCCAATTCAGTACGTGATTCGTTTGTTTTGTAATTTAATTTTCACATTATTGTAATTTGTATATACAGTATATAACGTAAAATTTGGGTGGGGGCAGTGCAAGTGACAACACTATTATATATTATTGTGCTATTGCACGTAGATTTACATTCACAGCACATAGTATAGTCTCTAATCTGTAGAATTTTTATAGCCTAAACACTGGATACTTTTCTCAATCATATGTTATTAATGGTAAGCAAACGAAACATAATTATAGTATGTCGAAATAATTCTAAACTTAGAAACATAAAGCTGTGTTGTAGAATATAAAAAGACGACAAAATATATGTGTGGAGTTATATGTCATCATATTCATGCCTTTGTCTGTAGGCTCAATCATACCACAGGTTCCCCGAAGGTAGTAACGCTTGACCAATAAAATGTGGCCCTTACTAGACTGTTAGGGGGGAGGGGAGTTTAGAACTGACAGAGATTTCAATTGACGAGTTAAGGCTAGTTTCCACACAGGAAAATTATCCGTGGATTGGAACGGTTAAAGTCATTAGTTCCAACCCAGAGCTCACAAGACAAAGAAAAATTTTCTTGTCCATTCCAATCCACGAATAATTTTCCTGAGTGGAAACTAGCCTTTACTTGTTAGGCTAGTCCGGTTGACAGGTTGTGAATCTCTGTGCTGGCAAATAAAAGTGCCACACAAGTCTTTGTTAAACTTTTAATCACTTTATTAAAATTTACAACATAACATAATTATTTCTTCACATTCATCAATTGTACACAAAACTCCTTCAAATAGGTTTCACTTCTAACTTTATACAACAGGGGGGTGACGGTTTCCACCGGATAGTGATTTATTCAACAATTGCAAATGTTCTTGAAAGGCTATAAAACGTCGGATATGGATTTCACAATGAATAAAAAGAAACATTAATTTATAAACACTAAAGATTAATCTGAGTTCAGTACAAATAAATGAATAATTTTACATAACGTGAACAAATCACTACCCATTCTTCAAAAACCGGTCCCAGAAAAAAAACCCTAATTAAGTTGACGTATTTAGTAAAACCTACAAGTACTCAGCATGCAAAATGGAGAAACGTTGTGGCAAGCACGAGTGCTAATTCATTAAATCAACATGCAAAGAGTTCCGCTAGTCCACTCGAGTTATTCTTTCAACATACAATATAACCACGATCCATATATCCGGGTATTGCTCAATATCTGCCACGTGGGTTTGATAATTGAAACACAGTAGGTTTCCTTCCTCTCGGACCAGTTACTAACCCAAACTTTACTGGTTAAACAATGGTGATGTGATATTCTCTCACGCCAGATCAGTCGGCCTGTGCACAAGTCATTGTCTATTCACCGTGGTTTAATAATCTCCTGCTGTGTACTATTACAATAAACAAATAAACGCCGTTTTTACAGGTGATTCACCAGACTGCTAGAGCTGTGCTAGCAACGTTTGCGACACAAAAGCTATAAATCTACAGAGAATGGCACATCAAGAGCGGGGCAAGGGCACGCCAATTGAGGTAGTCTAGGCACAACAGTAACGACATAAATATTTTGACCAGTGAAAATCAGATATGTGGGACAGTGGGAATCAAAGTAATCAAAGCGTCTATATAGGGCATCAGATATCTCGTAGTCAACTTGATCGATACTTATACAAGAGCAAATTAAACTAAATCTTTCACTTTTAATTATCTTCTTCAATCACATACAAGACCACTAAATATAGCGAAAAGAATGAACATTATTTTCTCTCATGATAACCGACGTTGACTACACTCTATAACTGTGCGATAAAGGGGCACGAAAACTTTCCCTTTGAAAAATCACAAGCATCAACTCTGCAGTCTGGGTGATTCGAAGTGGCAGTCAGCATTTCCTCCGACACTATAAGGTTCGTCCATAAGCTGAGACCTCAATGAATTGATATAATCCCGTGCGAGTTGCAGCACCTCCAGTTTCGTGATTTTCGTTTTCTCGCGTGCTGCCGGAATTGTGTTTTTGAGCACGTTCATGGCGTTTTTAAGCACGACAATACGTTGCTTCTCCCTCTCGTTCGCCTTTTCGCGTCTTCGTCGACAATCGGTGGCCTTTCGTGACGTCTTCGGAGACTTTGAGGTATCCTGAGATTTTGAACTGCTTGCCACTGCTGAAATTTCCTTCAATTTTCCTTCCGCATTTCCTGGTTCGTTCAGGGTAGTTTGCTTGCCAGAATCTATCACTTCCATAGTTATTCCGCTGGCAAAGGAATCGCTCTCTACTGGAGAGTTCGAGTAGTTCTGGATAACCTCTCCGTCAAATTCCTCCAAATGAACGATTTGATCATAGAGTATGTCCTTTGCAGTAGAATGTTGAACTGGCGAATTGTTGGTATTAAAACTATTCTTTGTAAAAATTGTGCCCTTTGCAGGGGAATGTTCGTGATCTTCTTGTACATTAGTTGCGGTCACCATTTTGAAACCATTTTCTGTACGAGTGCTCCTCATTGCAGTAGAATTTTGCACATTGCTTGTTTTCTGATCATTCCATGCATACAGGTAATCTTCCAAGTCGGGAAGCCACGCGTGCGCCAGGGCCGGAACTTCATTGAAATTGACAACTTGTTGTGTTGGCAAAACCATTGGGTAGCGAGAAAACGTGGTGAGATTCGATTCGGTCATTTCTAAACAAACACGTTAGTTGTGTAAATATATATATGTAAACATTTACTGTGTAACAGATATGTAAATATGTGTTTTACCAATGCAGATTTGTTACGAGGAAATTACGTGGGTTTCACGAAGCACTATCGTGCCGCAGATACCTTGTATTTGGTGGGCAAATCAATAAAATTGAGAGATGTGGTTTAATTTTCTTACTCCTATAAGTTTGAAGTTGATTACCATCTGCTGCCCTGTTTAATCCAACCCATCAAGGAGTAATTTACGACTCCACACAGTCACAGTGGCATAAAATGCGACGCGCACATTGTACTAGATTATAGTGATTGCAAACTATGGCATCAATCCAAATGTTCGCTAATAATAGCTATTGTGAGTATTGCAATCTCAAAAACGCATGAAATATTTTGATGAGTATAGTTGATAAATAATAAAGTACACATTACGACAATACTAAACAGTTGTAGAATGTTGACCTACCCATTATAATAGTTAACGTCCAATGCTAGAAAAATATCTTGAGGATTGTTTCCTGAGTACTGACACGAGCACTTTGGGGAGGAGATTTCCTGCGAAATGGTTTTAAAAGCTTGCCAGTGTATTTAATTAGTCACTATCCACGCGAATCAGGATAATTATAGTGCATTAACGGTTTGTAGAATAGAACGGTCACATCTCAACACTTTGGCCGTGCATGTCAATTATACGAGCGTTGCGGCCTCTCTTAATACAAGCACCCTGGCATGCACTTGAATTGTTATCGAATATTTCACAATAGCTTGCTTGACTTCATTGTGCTCTCACACAAGTGCGCGCACAAATTGAATCGATAAAATCTTAACTTGCGAAGGAATTTTTCTAAGAGTTAAAATGCTTGCTAATGTAAGGATTAGAGAGTTGGGGCAATGCTCGCGATTGTTTTTCGAAAATGGGAACACTTCTCTTTTCATGTGATGTGTATATATATTTCTGACGTAAAATGAGCAATCAAGCACAAGCATTGTTCGTGAATGCCCCCTGGCGTAGTACGTATAGCTGTAAACGCATGGAGCTATGGATTAATAAATAATAGCTTTTGTGCTGCGTTTATTAAAAGCGACCGTCTGTTCTTTTTTTAAATATAGATATGCATGGATCATAAAAAAATGGATATAGGAACGCGTCACAAATTTCAATTATATATCAATACTTTGCAGTGGCACAGAAACCATGTTCAATCTCACCACTTGAATGCAATGTTCAATCTCACCACTGGAAAATGGAAGAAAAACGCAGTAAACTCATAGATATCTTATACACTAGATAGTGCATCTAATTATTTTGCGATTCAAAAATTGAAGCCGTGATTGCAGACTTAGGATATTCCCATGGAATGAGAAGATTCGTATACTTTCTATTTCTTAAACAGGGAACTTAAACATTAAGTTAAACCTATTCCCAATACATTTTTAAACTATTCAAATGATGAAAGTTATTGTTGTTTTTTAAACGTTTATTAGCGAGTGGGAACTACCAACATGGCCGCCATCTATTCAAATGGGGATAACCGCTGGAATATTCTTGGCTTCAATCCTTGTATTCGTACGTAACATCACGAATTTCTAAATAAGCCACGTGTATGCTAGCTGCATTTTTTTAAAACTATAAATAGTTAAATAGTGAAATGGTAATAAAAAAAAAGTTAAATAGTTTAAAAAAATTGGATAAACACGCCAGCAGACGTGACCTGTTTGCAATTCACGAACACAAAGAAAATATGGTATAAAGTTCACCTGCGTTTTTCTTCAATTTTCCTATATTTTTAGCATTCAGCAGCTATATATTGAGATTCAAAATGGTTTCTGTTACATCTTCAATTTAGTTTTATTACTTTCGTAATAATTGAAATTTGTGACGCGTATTTTACAGTCTAATGCTTGACAAGTTCCCTGAAACATATTCCTTAGATATTCCATCGTAGAGTGGCATGGTTGATTCCGACATTTTTAACTAACTCTTGGAAAATAATTTTAGAATTTAGTACTTGAAGAAAACATGCGCTGTTTGATCAAGTCAAGCTCATGGAAACAGTCAAGTGTCCAACCAACTCGACAGCGGATCGCCTTTAAATTGGCGGGCACAATTTAGTTGCAGGCACAAAATTGAAGTGACTTTATTTGTTTATTTTGTTTATTTAAAAACATGACAGCAATATAACTGAAAAACCTGTATGGCCCTACATATACAATACATACAAAGTTATGAATTCTACTTTAAAACTAGTAGTCTGAAAGCTAAATAAGCAACAGAGAAAATCCAAGAACAGGACGGGCGCCTGTGGATTTTGTGGTTTTTGCCATTTTTTAATTGGTTTCTCTTCGGTCGTTTCTCGGTTTTGATGTTTTTGGTTTTCGACAAAAACCAGCAAATTTTCGGATATCATATCTGATGTTGCTTTGGCTTACTCATCCGCAATCACAACCTCGATTATGCCTAGAACTTAGCACAGTGATTCCGTTTCCAATAGGCTCGCATACTCAGACGTTTGCGTGCAAAATGCCTGACTGCTTTATAGATATTTTTAGTGCGGTTTTGCGGTTTCTAATTGGCTCAACGGCCCTCTCCAAAAGGCGGACCATATATGTTATTTCATTGACGCCATACAATATTCCATCTACGCACAACAGAACAATTGCATGACTGAATGTTGTTGGGTTGCATTCAGTAATTGTCCTTCGTTTTATTTAAAAGAATTGTGAACTCGTGCAACGAGTGTGTGTGCGCTTGATGGTGCGCGTCATTGCACTACAAAGTGTCCTTGACGGAACAAAGTCGAGTTTTACTTCAAAAAGTTTAAAGTTTGATTGATCACGCAATTGAAACAATACCATTATTTAATGAATATTTAGAAATAAATCTTTCAAGTCCATTACTTAATGATCATATAAACTTTGATAGTGTAAACTGTAAACCAGTCTATTGAAGTGCGCAACTCCAATATTTTAGCATTCTTTCAAAAATCCGTGTTATTTTCCTCCTGGGATAGTCACGATTCATGAATTCAAGTACTTTTCAGGATAAAAAAGTGACTTATTGAAGAAGGAGGCAGTCTAATACAACGTTAATTCTTTGAAGGTTGTACATACTTGCGAGTAAAAATCCATTACTTGCACAAAGAGGCAGGATTTTCTCACGGCATTAGTGTGGGGGGACAAAGAGCGATGCACATGGTTCGTGACCTCTCACCTTTCACTTGGTGTAAGTATTTGCGAAGACAATAAGATTATAAATTGCTGTTTTTTTAATCCGGAATAGTCATAATTACACAGTCTGTTGAATATTTTATGCCACGTGAAAGAGAATTGTATTACGCTATAGAAAAATTAACATAAAATTATAAAGCATTAGATGATTAGTGATACATGTTAAAACTAAACTCTACCATTATTTCTATTATAGATAACTCTATTAGTCATAAATTGTTCCTCCTAGAGGTCCAGCTAGGATTTTTTTTATTTGCCTGGAGGACATTTGTGGTGTAACATAAATTTATAAATGTTTAATCTGTCATGTTAAGTTAATTAAAAAGTAAACTAACTTTATTTTTATCCATAACTCCAACATGTTATTAGTTCAGTGTTACTAGAGGAAACCATTAACTAATTAAACTTTATTTATAGCTCCATCAGTTCTTAATAATGAACTGATCTCCCTGGAGAGGTCCACGAAAGGTCATGCCTCATTGGTTCAGTGCATGTTACCTTTGGAGGAAACCTAAACTAAACCATCGTTATTTAGATTGGATAACATGATCAGTTCTATACACTGTTCTCCCTACAAGTCAAACAAGGGGACACTTTTGTATGTGGTGCGTTCATAGATATCTTATATATACTAGATAGCGCATCTCTTTTAGTAAAATTTTAGCCAAGAATATTCCAGCGGTCACCTCCATTTGAATAGATGGCGGCCATGTTGGTAGTTCCCACTCGCTAATAAACGCTTAAAAAACAACAATAACTTTCATCATCTGAATAGTTTGAAAATGTATTTGGAATAGGTTTAACTTAATGTTTAAGTTCCCTGTTTAAGAAATAGAAAACATATGAATCTTCTCATTTCATGGGAATATCCTGAGACTGCAATCACGGCTTCGATTTTTGAATTGCAGAATAATTAGATGCACTATCTAGTGTATATAAGATATCTATGGGTGCGTTACTACACAGATGAGACACGTGCCGACTAGGTTTGTAGAACAGTCCAAAAATGAGTAAAACACACATCAAATCATTGTGGGAGAATGGTTCAGCGTGAAGTGAACCAATTGTACTCTTAAAAACTCTGGTTAACCCAAAGACTCATTAAGCCTTATGTTTTCATCCCACAGGGGTATATAGAAGACCTGCTCAATAGGGCCCTGCCAGACTGGTAGCGATCCCTTCTGACATAGACCTGAACTAAGGGGTGATAATCCCCTTGGACAGTACCTACAATTCGACTGATTATATTTAACATAAATAACCTGAGTCTATGGGCCCGAAGTTGACCATTGCGAACACTTCAAGGTTTGTTAAAACTAAACTGACTTCACTGAGATACTGGATATAGCTCTATCAGTTCTAATCTGTTCTTAAGGGTTCGGAGGTGATAGAGAGGGAAACCGAAGTACTAGGAGGAACCCTCCAGTGTTTGCTAGAGTAAAATTGAAGGCACTCTTCTCGCACGCGAAGAAGACAAAACGGTGCTTTTCCACAATGCTACCTCGCCTGCGCAGAGCGAGTCACGTGAGTAATCAGTAATCACGCTTAGTCAATAAGCTTGAGCGAAAGTCAAAGAGGACGAAGGACTCTTTCGTCACTATGACCAGAGTTCAATTCCTGCAGTACGAGGTTGTCCAATTCAATTCACTTTCGCATGTGAGAAGAGCTCTCCCGGTTCCCGAACACCGCAGGTTTTGAGACGATCCTTACTGGACCTCTACGGAGAATAGTTTAGAACTGATAGAACCATCCAGTATAAAGTCAGTTTAGTTTATGCAACAATGGACCAACAAGGGATGACTCTTACTGGACCCTCTGGGGAGAACAATTTATAAAATTGATACATATAACAGTATCCACTATAAATAAAGTTTGTTTAGTTTAGCAGCGAAAGCCAACACCTAATTCCATTTCTATAAACTACTCCCAGTTATAATTTCCAAACTCCCAAAATACATTCTAACTTGCATGAACATCTAACAACCTGTCAACCCCATGGCTAAAACCCTATGGGTGGCTTCCAGTTGAGCTATCGCTAAAACGTCCGACTTTACTTTTAATGAATGTAATATTTTAACAATCCTACAAAAAGATTTAGTTCTCCTTCAGCTGTAACCTGTCGGCGTGTTTACCCAAATATAGTATTACTAAATATTGTTTTGGTTTCGACTTCATAAACAATTCTCCAACGAAACACATCAACACTCCTGTACGAGTTGCCACCGGCAAAATATGAAACACCGAAGCATACACGAAGGTCAGTAATTATGTTTAATGTTTATGTAACGGCCTAACCAATGGCTGACCATAGAACCGTTTTGTTTTGCTCAATTAATCCGTTCTAATTGGATAGCTGGGGGAATACCTGCCTTCTGGAATATATGTTCAAAAATCATACGAGTATACCGAAGGCTCCAGACTAACGAGTAGCATCGAAGGGCGGAATCTTCAAGACGAAACGAAAAACTTAGAATTAAGAAAAACGACTAGAAGCAAGACAACAGGATGAATAAAATGGTTGAAAACGGTAAGGACCTATCCATAGTTAACGTTTAGAAACTTAGATGGTTTAAATTAATGTTTGCGTGGACCTTTATATAGTTTTGATTTCATGATCTTGACTCGTTTAGTTAATGAACACGAAATGCGCAAAATGATCGCGCGCACTTTAATTTGTAACAATTCAAAAGGAATTACTTCAATAAATTTACTTGAAACTGTTCAGTCTTTCAATTCGCCTTGGATCATGGATTTTATAAGGTTTTGAATCTGTTTCTAAGGGGTTGCTGTTTGTCAATTGAACGTGGGCGGACCCGCCAACCAGAAGATTAATATGAACTATGGAACCGTCCAAACAAACACGAATCTGTTGCGACGGTGAACATACTACTTCATAGGTGTTAGGAGTTGATATTCAAAGAACTATAACCCATTTACTCTGCGTATAAAATGTATGAACCAACTCGAAACAATCAGTTCCATATGGTATATTATGTAAGATTAATGCGAACTACAGAATATACAAACAAATGGATTGGAAAGCTTTGATCGAAAACAGCCTAAGGCGCAGTTTACCGATGGAATGCACTTACTGATTTCGTGTTTTCATACTTAGTGAATGTTTATCAGATGATCTCCCTTTATAGGGGATGCTTTTCCTCAACACTATAAGATACTTTCAGTATTCGGAGATACTGCATGAGTATTCTTCTCAAAAACCACTGAGGTGGAATTATAAAGTCTATAAACAGACAAGCACATATTGCAAGAATCAAACCTCAGTAACGCACGTAAAGGTCAAATGCGTCTACTAATTTCTGCGTCACAAACCGAGGAGGAATAAGTGTTTGAACGTTTCCTTTTATTTTCTGAGTTCATCATTCGGAAAAGGCAATAAGGTAGTGGGAATTGAGGATGACCCTTACTCGACCTCCAGCAACGAGATATGGAAGTAGACGACCTTTGCCATAGTTAGGTATACACTACCAACTGCGCCAGAAAGGTAGAACTTAGTGAAAGTTTTCTTTGTGTTAGGAAGAGGAAATCCTCCATGCAAGGTGTGTGGAGACAGATCATCAGGCAAGCATTATGGCGTACAATCTTGCGATGGATGTCGGGGTTTCTTCAAACGAAGTGTAAGACGAAAGCTGAGTTATCAATGTCGAGAACGAGGCATGTGCCCCATTGATGTAGCGAGAAGGAACCAATGTCAGTCCTGTAGACTAAGGCGATGCTTTGAAGCAGGAATGAATAAAGATGGTAAGATATAAAAATATTTATTAAACAAGGTCATATTGTTAATAAATCTGGCAAGCCAGACACTTATCTTCCCCTGGGCCCTTGAAAAGAATCTCAATATATATGCGTTGTCTTCTTTAGTCGCTATAGTTGTTCAACTTACTTTATGAGTAATTTTAACATATTAAAATCAGTGTTTAAAATCAGTTTTTGGGATATGCTGCTGTTCAGACGACCTCCTCAAATTGGACAGAGGTTTTCAAAAGAAACGAAGCAATTTTGTTGTTCTGAACACAAAAGCAATTGCTCCATACAGAGCTAATAAACACCACTGTTTAAAAGCAGCATATATACTGTCTGGGTTTTTGGTAAAATCGTCGCTTACACTTTTGCGGTTATGTTGCATTAACAGGAGTTTTGATGGGAGGCCGTTTACTGTGCCCACGCGTGGGAAGACTTCATTTAACATACGAGTTCTGATCCGAAAACTAGTCATTATTTTATGCCCTCAATTTATAAAGCCATATTCGAATATAATCATATAAGATCAGATGGATAATAGTATTAGAAAGCCAAATGTCATTGTCAGGTGTATTAAAATATGCATATAGGGCGTTTATGTAACATAAACATAGACGCCGAGATTACTTAATTGAATTAGGAAAACAGGCTAAGAACATTCAACGAAGATCAAGAATTTCAACCAACCATACAAAAATCCGAAATCCAAAACATTGTCTTATGTTTAACAAATACACAAGTCAATTATCTAGTTTTTATTATGTATACAATGCCATTAAATCAAGTAGACATTGTGTCCCGTGGCCATGGATTGTGCCGGAACGTATAATCATGTTAATATTTAATGATGTTTTTACCAAAGTCAAATTCAATCGGTCAACATGCCAAGAAAGTGTCAAAAACCAATAAAAACTTGCGGCAACCACGAAAATTAAAATTTTAGCTAAAAGTTGCCATGAAGTACTTGAAAGAAAACAAATATTCATTATTGTTTTTAAGCTACAGACGTCGCCAGCTGGGCCTTCGTTTCTGGTACCGGTTTATTTTTCGACTACACCCTAATTTTGTGCTTTGCTTGCATTTGCTTAAAGAAACGAAACGACGACTTACAGTTCTCTGTTTGAAATACTTGAAAAAAATTGAAGTTTAATTTCTGCGGTAAAATAAAAACAGCGAGCCGAGGGTGAAAATTTTGAGCGTCTTTGCTTGTCATATAAACAACAGAATGCAATACATCGAGTTTTTGCATATTGTAATTCACATTCCAGCAGACAAAACAGTAAATAATTTTCATGGGATGTTGTGCCTCAACGTGTTGTGCTTATGTTTGGATGATGTAATGCGTCTGTTTTCGCTTATAGGCCTACACAACGAAATGAAAACTACAAAGTATTTTAATTGTTTTGAATATATAGTATAGATTTTAAATATAAGCATATATGTTTATGTCTCTGGAATGAAAATGTTTGGTGATATATGTTTGAAATATTAAAAAACGAAAGATGCTTGGTCAAAAACAGTCATCATCATTTTTGCATTTTCTGCAAATGATGAACAATTGAACACTTCCAAATTATAATCTTCCAAATTCGGATAATTAGAACGCATCATTCTAATTGTTCCATGCAGTCTCAGCTACAAGTTCATCTGGATGCGCAGTCGAGACGCACAATTATCTTAAACTATTTCCCCAGTACTGCTAAGGACAACAAACAATTTATTGTGTAGTGTAGGAATAAAAGATTAGCCTACTCATGGATCATGATAATATCGATGACTTTCTTTCGTGCGCGATACGTACAGGTGTCTCTAATTCACACGCTGGTGCCGTCTCGTCCGCCGACCCTTACTGGGTGATTAAGTATTTACGACTTGCCAATGGAATCGAAAGATGAGTCAGCACACGTTCTGGTGAACCGCCATGAGTAGGCAGTATTAAGTATTGGTTGGACATAATAAAAACAAATAAAACCGTATCCATGCACACTTTGGTAAAACAAGACTTCCCCCTCTCTTGCATTTGCGTGCTAACGAGAACTAATATTCTAATAATATGCTCAACGATATATGGTCTGGAATGAGAAAACCTATCATGCATGGCGCTTTTTGAAGCATTATATATTATTAGCATTTTGCACTGATGAAGATCTGGGCTTACGGATCGAAAGCTTAGAATAATAAATAATCGGTTAACAAAGTTAGCGGAAACGGCTGCAAGAATACCCAGTGAACCGTGATCAAAATATTATGCCTTATATACAAAAACGGTTTAATACGCCGTAATTTGCAACATGACACATTTGTGCATGTTCACCCAGTGTGTTCACCACGGGATATTGCAGGCAATTGCGACAAGTTAATTTAATGATTAGATAAAACAAAAAGTTTTCAACAACGACTCACCATCTCGTTGAAATTCCACGGCAAACGCCACTTGCAGCGATTGCTTTCTTCATCATGTTACGCCAAGAGGAAATCTTTCGTTCGTAAAGTAGGATGTAATCCATGTGGTTTCTGAAACAAATCATTATTTATATTGAAGTTATATTTAATTCTGTATATATTCGAATATTTCAAACGTGGGGTTCAGGGCAGCTATAGTATTGAATGAAAGCATGGAATAGTTAGCTGATAATGTTCTGGAAGCGTGGCATATAAATCTGAATGATTGTAGCTACATAGGAAGGACAGTACAGCTCCAGTCAAATGAGGATGACAGTTGATGAGAATTGATAAGCGAGAGTTTGTGTGAGTGTTTTCTGCATTGCATGCCTCCATGCGAGTTGATGAGAGTTGATTGGATTTATCGGACAAACGAGCGAAAACTCTCATGAAATTGGAAGCAGTTCAAAGTTAACGAGAGTTGGCGAGGTCAAACGCGAAACTCTCGTTGCAATTCTCATCAACTTTCTATCTTCCTCCTTGTTGAACAGTGACGTTCTCCCTCGAACGTTGGGTTGTGTGCATGTATCATTCGATGAGACATCGCATTCGTTTCTTTACGAGTAGCGAACACAAGATATCTGAAGATTAACATTTTTCATTCTCTCTACAGCGGTCCAGCACGAAAGAACGCCAAGGCACCCTCAACAGCACCAAAACGTGCCCAGCTTAATGTTCAACATGTACAACAACAAACCTCAGAAAAGAAAACACACTGAAAGCATACGAAGCCTGGAAACAGTGAAAGTGAAAACGAAGAAGGAACCAGACCACAGCCCTAGTTCCTCAGAAGGACAAACGGATTCTTCTCTTAGTCCTTATTCCAGCTCGCCTCTCTCAATGAAGGAGATAGTGTATGAATCATCAATGAGGATTCTGTATGTCTCCATACAATGGGTCAAACATATACCAACATTTAAAGATTTACCTTACAACGATCAGAATTTACTCATGCACCAAGGATGGGGCGAGGTGTTCATATTAGGTATGATATTTATAGAACTTTGTTTTAACATATTGTCTCATGATAAGAAGCAAGGTATGAAGAGCTGCTAAAAATCTTCCCTTTCACCTCAGAGTATATTATAAAGGTTGCAGCTCAAGCGTGACCATACGATCTAATGGGCGGATTCGGGAGGGGAAAAATTATGGGAGGGGAAAAACCGAACTACACGGAGAAAATATTTTGAAGCTGAATAAGTTTTCAGCAACATTACGTCAAGCCAGGGTAGTCACCTATCTAAGAAACAACCCTC